CCCCCCCACCTCCTTCCCTCCCACACCTCCTCCGTGGCTGGCCATTACAAGATAGCTTTATTGCTTCAGACAAATCCATTATTTACACCACTTGATATTAGACACAGCAAGAGACAGAAAGATTTTCTTTCCTTCAACAAATACCAAAAGAACTGTTTCATTCCATAGTCAAGATCTGTACACATATTGAAAAATTCAGTCCTCTCCTGTGGCAGCTCTGCCCCAGGACATCTGCRGAGAGCTGTGCTCACCTCTTGACATTTCAGAATTCTGCCAGGTGCCTGGGGCTGGCAGGAGGCAGCCAGGCTGCACCAGCAAGCTCTGGGTAGCAGCAAGCCAGGGAGATGAGGAACTGTGGGCTCTCTCCACTGCTACCTCCATCACATCTCCACCATTGCAGCAACCAGCCACCTCTCCCCTTGCCGAGAGGCTTCACCAAGCCACATCCAGTGTCCACTTTGGCACCGTGCCCAGCACCACAAAGGCCACCATATGCACCTGGTTTGTTCATAATTCACGGGGTTTCTCTGGGGACTGGGCCTGCTGCAATGCTGTGTGCTCACAGGCACTGCCAGGGCCACAGAGCCTGGTTCCAGGAGAGCAGCCTGGGCAGCAAGAGGCACGGGCCACCCCCAGCACCAGCACAGAAGGGAGGGCACAAGGCTCAGCTCTACAGACAAGCCTACCCACCCTCATCCAGCAACAGAGCTGCCATGGCCCACTGGGGAGCCAAGCTACCCTGGGAAGGTGTCACCATTCCCAGAAGCTCGGCCAGCACAGGGCACTGGGCAGTGCAGTGCAGGATGGGTGCAGGTCCTGGWGCCACCTTGCTCAGAATGGCCAAAGCCTGGGTTAGGAACAAAAATAAGTTTGGGGAAGGGAGGGAGGATAGAAAACACAGACATGAACATCCCAGGGAAGCACACAGCTGAAGGCCCAGGTGCAGGAGGACACAAGCCACAGCCAGCTGTGACCAGCACAGCCTCACATGGGCATTGCCAGCCTTCCCACAACGCCAGACCCATCCCAGCTGGGTGGGCTCTTYCCCTCCTGTCACTGTCCTCAGCCAGGGTGCTGAGACAGAGGCCACAGTGTCTGGGTGCTCCCATAGCATGGTCGAGGAGCTGAGCACTTTGGATTCCCTTCTGCTGCAGGGACTCCGCCAGACAGCTTCATGCGTTTCAGCTCAGGCACAGAGAAAAACCCCATTTCCCTTTGTCCCCAGGCTCCACCTGGGCCAAGGGCTTGTCACTGTGGTCCCTCTTCCTTGGGCAAAGGGTAACATGGATCCAAGTGCCAGTGCCCAAAGGCCAGCTGCTGTTTCTCAGTCTCAGCTCCCTGGCTACTGGCGCTTGGCTTTGTAGGGACGGGAGCGTTTCCGGCGGTCCGGCTTCCTCTGCTTGTGCAGGCGGCCGATGCTGACTCCCTGCCGCCTGCGCACTGAGATGTTCTGCTCCACCAGGCTGGCCAGCATGCCTGCAGGGAGAGCACACACACAGGCCTGGAGTGCTGGGAATGCCCATGCCAGAGGGCAGCCCTTACTCTCTCACTCAAAAGCCATCAGTGGGCACCTCCTGGGACTATAAATCGCAAGGACAGAGACCYGTGGCTTCCCAGACTGAGCATCACCCTGTGCTCCAGGCCTGGCAGAAGCAGGGACCAGGCAGGGAGGGCTCCCCAGGAACTGCTCCATCATGCTCAGTGCAGCTCCCCCAGCTGAACCCAAATCCTCTGCCCCCTGAGAACAGCTCACCTTCCTGGGCCAGCATGGATATGAAGGTACAGATGAACTCATCATAGTTGTGGGTTCTCCTCTGGTCATCAATCTACAAAGAGACAAATCCACAATTAATCCACAAGCAGGTGGCAGGGAGAGAGGAGAGTTCAAGGTTAACAGGACAAAGAACTGGCATGCCTGACCCAGCCCAAAGGCTAAGGAAACTGAAGCAGGAAGGGACCCCCCCCCCCCCAACCCATCTTGGGCCAGTGCACAGTGGGACTGTCTCCATCCCAGTTCAGATGCCAGCATGTTCCACAAAGGGCTGCTGGCAGGAGGCGAGGGTGGGCAGGGCAGGCATCTCTGCAGACTCCCCCTTGCCTCCTATCAGTGCTGATGTTCATCCCAGCACKGTATCACCCTCCCCCAGGTTGTCAGTGCTGCCCCAGGGCTGTGGTCTGCCCTGGTCAGAGCTCTGCCCTGCTGAGCTGTTGGTAACAAGGAAGGGACTCTGAATGCTCCTCATCACCATTCTCAGCTGAACCAAGCTCCCTCCATCTTCACATAAAAACACCTGCCAAAAGCCTTCAGGGAGMTAATCAGCAATGCAAACAAGCCACCAACACACCTTGAATTTCTTCCTCTTCTCTACCTCCTCCTTCAGGCAGGCCTCATAGTTTGCAATCTCTGCTTCCACACACTTGAGCAGTGCCAGCAGCTCCTACCAGAATCAAGTAGACCAAACGTGAGCACAGACCCAGCCATTTCCCAGGAGCCAGCAGGGTGAGCTGGCAGGTATTCCTCTGTGTGCTAGAAAAGGGAGGATTCGTCAAAGGAAAAACACTTGCTGGGGAAAACAAAGAGAGCAGTTAATCATAGGGAAATCACTATGGCCGGTCCCAGGGAAGGTGGATTCTGCCCCAACCCCATATACCTGATTTTGGGACAGGGGGAAGGGCTGCCTGTGTCCCAGAAAAAAACCCCAGGGCCTGCTTCCCCTCAAAAATAAAATCTGAAGACTTCCCTTTGGAGTAGCAGTTTCTAGCCAGCTCTCCTCCAGGGAGCCCTTGGTGCAGTTGTGCTGCCTGAGCCTGGTCCTGTCCCTGGCTGGAGGGCACAGACAGGCTATGAAGTTACCAGCAGACTGCGACTTGGGAATGCAGGGTCTCACCAGCCCCTGGCCCAGAGGAGAGAACAGCARGCTGAATGTCTCAGTTGCAGACAGAGGCTGTGCCCACTGCCAAGGCAAAGGTCCCCGAGATGACGCAAGGCACAAAACCTGCACTGCCCTGTGCCTCGAGGCACGGCTGCGACGACACGCGAGGGGACAGCGTGCACATGCGGTTCGGTCACTGCCAGCGCTGCTGCGCCTCCGGGTGAGCTCCACGTTCCCAGGGCTGTCGCAGCACAAAACTCACCTTGGGAGAATACTTTTCCCCCCCAGGGTGATCACTGGTCCTGCCAAGTCCCACCTTCTCTTTGCTGTCACTGGCCTCAGTGCCCTCCTTCTCCTCCAGTTTGATCGCGACCGCSGTCTCTTCACCAGGTTTGATGGAAGAGGGGGAGTTTTTCCCCCCATCTACACACGGGAGGGAAGTGTTAGGAGGCATCGCAAAGGACTGGCATCCACTCCCAAAGTCAAAGGACACTGTCCTGTCACCACATGGGAAATGTCACCCCCAAAAGCTKTCAGGCACTTACCAACAGCAGCCAGCGGGCAGAACACGCCATCCTCGGTGAGGTGCAGCAGCCCCGAGCTGACGATGGGCCCCAGGTCCCTGACGGCGCGGTTGTAGCGCATGCAGTCGATGCGCAGCAGCCCGTCCTCCTCTCCAAACAGCACCTTGGAGATGTGGGAGGTGACGGGGCTGGAGGGGCGYGTGGGGTTGGCCGAGCGGATGGGAGAGCGCAGTGGGGAGTTGAAGGCGCTGCCAATCTCGGAGGCAGTGTCCGTGCTCTCGTTGCTGGGGGTGGGGGAGGGCTGGGAGTGGGTGACCACTGCCACAGCAGCACCCCCACCAGTCGTCTTGATGGACAAGGGAATGGAAAGATCCTTTTGAGATTCCTTCAGCTTCTCAGCCAGGACATTGATGGTGTTGGGCTGCAGGACGGAGAGCTGGCCATCTGCGGCCCCTGCCACATGCTCTTGCTTCACTTGCCCTTTCCTCTTGTACCTGCCCAGGAACACAGTAGGGAAGGTGAGTAGCTGGTGGAAGGAGCTGGGGGCCCAGCACAGACACTGCCAGCTCTGTGCTCAGCAGTCCAGGCTGCCTGCTGGGATGAAACAAGGTCTGAAACACTTCCWGGTCACTCCCAGTGCCATCAGTTTTTCTTGCAGCACGCTGGCACCACTCAAACCACTCAGTCCCAAGGACTSCTACACTGCTGGGAAGCACAGGGTGCTGTGTACCCCCTGCTCTTCTTCCAAAGCCCCCAGAGCACCCTTGCTGTGACCCCAACTTCCTGATCTTCGCAGCAGTCCACACACACCAACACTGCCACCMGGAGCTGAACTGGCAATCGGCACCATGGAACCGAAGTTCCTCAAAGCCCCAAAGCCTACTGCCAGTACAGTTACTCTCAAGGCACCTGAAATTCAGAGTTGACTGTGAAGAGCAACAGAAGAACTTCACAAAATCCAGTGAGTGAAAAGTAAAACGGCAGGTGAAGAAAAAAACCACAACTATCAAGCACTAGGGAAAGAGACACTTAAGTCTTCACTGACGGCTCKGCAAATGTCAGCTCCCCGCCCCCTACCCTCAGCTCAAGCTGTCACCTGATGGCTGAGTTGGTGTTACGAACTTCCTCCTCATCATCATCATCATAGTCATCCTCATCGTCTGAGTACTGCTGATGCTGTCGAACTGGGACCCGGTTTCGACCCACTCCTGCTGCAAGATCTTCCTCCTCCTGCAAAATACCATTGCTGAAGGTCTGCTGGCAGCCGGGCARGAAGGAAGAGCCCAGTGGATACATCCTTGATCCAGCCCAACACCAGGACTTGTTCCTTTGGAGAGCAAACAGGGACCCTTCCCAAGCTTGCTCAGTTGACCCACATTAAGGTTAACCTCCTTTGTCAGGTCAGTCTTGATCTACCCTCTCCTCTTCCAGCCTGGGTTAGTGCTGGGCCAGG